ACAAACCTGGAATCAAATCTGGGTGTAACCATGGAGGTGCCTCCCCGAGCACAGATATCAACCATTCTGCCAGTAGCTGGAGTGATAAAGCTGTTTTTGCTTGTTCTGTTAAAGGGAAATAAACATCTGCTCACAAGATGACCTTTAACAAATATACAGGCACTTATCAAAGGCTTGAAGAAGGTGACCACTAAACCCAGGGGTTATTACTAACCAGTGACCCCAAAACTGGGGACAGCTTGTTCTCACAAGAGAGGTATCTTTCATTCACATCAATTTTTCCCTGTAGCATGGAACAACTGTACTCCCTGCCACTACTGAGCCAAAGTCCATCCCATCAAAGAGAGATATTTATATTTATACTCTCATTCTCCATTTCTAGAGATGAGACAGAGACATCCCCGTTACCTTTTGCTCATGCGCTTCACTCTTGCTGAGGGAGGTCTTCTGGCCACGGGTGGCTTTTTGGTGGATGCCTTCACCTGAAGAACACATCACTCACTAGATCAGTTATTTCCCTCTTTTGGACAGCTGAGTCCACACAAAATGTTTGGTTCAGTCCCTTTCCATGGCACAAGAGCCCACAACAAATACAATTCAAGCCTTTGGGAACTTTCCCCATAACTAGATTTCTCTGGGAAGCAGTAACTGTTTCAAGTCCCCCTCAGAGCATCCTGGACAGCCCTAGTCATCAGCTCAGTCAGGAATCTGAGAATAATGTCACCCCAGAGAACAGCTATTCACCTTGGCAGTTGTTGGATTGACATTCTTAGCCTCTGACTCTGAAGGACACTGGCTGTCAACTCTGGATTTCTTTGGCAAAGGAAGCGATGGAGGCTCTGTTTCCTCAATGGCTTCAACACTTCTTTTGGATTTATCCACTAGAAAGAGAAAGTATTATCTAAGTAAATTAAACTTTAAATTATTATTTAGCAGGGGAGAAAAACAGCTACAAGCAGTTTCAGCAAAAATGTGCTTCAGAAATCCAAATTCCAATACAATCTTAATGGTTGACAGAGCACTACTTTCGGACTATTTTGAATGTTTTAAAGAAATTAAATGTACTGCAGGCACTAGGGATAAAAGTATTTTATAAATATAAAATAAAAGGATTATTTTCCTGATTTAAACATACTGAGGGATGTGAGCAAGAACCGAATCATTATTTACATTAAGTCACCACAACATGCTTCCACCTCACCAATCACACCACAGTGCTTAAACTCACCTTTTTTGACAATGTCAAATGGGACATTGATAACTCCTGCTGTCAGCTTGTCTATTTCTGCTATTTCCAAGTCTGCCTAAAATTAAAAACATTTACGGCATCACTGGGATTGTTGGCAGCCCAAAGTTCTTGTAAGTCAAAGTTGTAAAGCAAACCCCCAATAATTTTCCAACCAGATGAGCTCCACGTTTGCTGTTGTGCTCAAACCAGGCCCTTTCATGCATCTCTACACAGCCAGCTTGGAATTGCTTTCCTCAACTGCAAATTGCATGTGCTCTCAAGGATTTAGCAGTGCAATCTAGCAGATAAGGAAAGATCAACAGGGAGCAGCAGGACCTCATAAATCCCACGTCTGATAAAACAGGCATCTGGTATTGTTAAATTTTAAAGAAACATTTGTGAAAATATTGATGTAACTGTTTCTCTTGTAATGCTCCAGCGAGATATTCCAGGGTGAGGAGCAGGGTGTGATGGTTCTAGAGAGCTTTATGTTAGTGCTGGAAACCTACCATAGCCACCTTCTCCAGCGCCTTCCCACTTCCTTCTTTAGCTAGAAAGAAAATATTTCAGACAAATCAGGACACGTCCGAGACAGCTAACAGCGCAGCAGGGCTGTCACCACCAGCGTGCAAAACCCAGCACAAAGCAGTTTCCAGCGCTAGGGAACAGGAGCGGCACCCCGAACGGCCCGTGGGATGCTTCCCTGGGGCTTCCAGGCACGGCAGATCCCTTATTGGGGTTTATTATGCAAGGGGGAACGCGCGCCCCCGGCCCAGCACCTCCCGACCCCGCTCCGCACCGTAGTACTCGAGCCAGTTCATCTGGCGGAGCTCCACCGGCAGCCGCAGGATCGCCATATCGTACAGGTTCTCGATCTCCTTCACCAGGCACTCCCCGTCCGCCTGCAGCCGCTCCAGCCTCCGGTTCACTGGGAGGACACGCGCCGTTAGCCCGGGGCCGCTCTCCTTCCCGCTCCCGTTGTGCTTTCCCCTCCTTTTCCTTCTCCCGCTCCTACCTTCGCGGTCGAAGTCCTTGAGGAAGGCCGCCAGTTTCCTGCTGCGGGAGCTCGAGCCGCCCTTCTTCCTGGCGGGCGCCATGGCGGGCTCCGTGAGGGCCGGGCCGCGTTCGAACCAACCGCCACCCCAGCCCGCCAATGGCGGCGCGGCGCGCCCCGATGACGCCACAGCTGGCGCGGACCGATGACGCGGCT